CCTCCCTCACCCGGCTGAGTATCTCGGCTGGAACCTCTCTCTTTCTCTTTAGACCCGACTGAGCTTCTCGGTTGGGAAGATTTTTCTCTCTCTTCTCTTTTTCTTCCCATCGCGGCTGAGTAACTCGGCTGGTAGCTCTTCTGAGTATCTCGGTGGGATTTTCTCTCTTCCTCTCTTTTCATCTCGGCTGAGATTTCTCTCTCCCTCTCTTTTCATCTCGGCTAAGCATCTCGGCTGAGATTTTCTCTCTCTTTCATCTCGGCTGAGGATTTCTCTCTTCCTCTCTTCTCATCTCAGCTGAGTTTCCCGGCTGAGAAGTCTCTTTTCTCCTTCAGACCCGACTGAGTTTCTTGGTTGGGAGGATTTCTCTCTCTCTCCCTTCCCTCTCATTGCGGCTGAGTATCTCGGCTGGTAGGCCTTCTGAGGATCTCAGTGGGACCTTCCTCCCTCTCCTCTTTTCCATCCTCTAAGGGCCATCGCTATGGGCGTTGGGATCATTCGCCATCGCTAATCGTCTCCACCAGCTCTCCTCTTTTGAGAGCGCTCTCGGGCAGACTCTGGCCCCTCCGCTCTCCTCACAGGGGCGCAACCAGTGAGTGAGCGTCTATCAATATAAAGTCTCTTTTATTAGTATAGATTTGATTTATGTAGATCCTGGTTTGTCTTGCAAGAAATTCAAATTATTTGTGACCAATTCTTTGTTTTCATTTTGTACAGACATACATACACCCAAACATATATTTCTGAAATTCATACCTTGTCTAGTAGGGTATCCCAAAAAAAGTTCGAATTTCGAAAAGTTACGATTCATGGTTATAAATGTGGTCCATTTGGTTAGAAAACTTTTTTAACCAAGTTCCAGATTTTTAGGTAAAGTTTAAGTGCTTCCGCATCGCACATTATCGTGAAATTTGCGATTCCGATGATTGAGGTTTTTGGCGATTTGATTATTTTTTTTAATTGACGAAGCAGTCACGCTAGGGCCCGAAACTTTGGGATAGTAGCCTCCTAACACACTAATTTTGATATAAATTAAAATTTTGAGCGTGCGAGACAGTGAAGTATGTTTTAAAAATTCGGAAACTTGGCCAAAAACGCTTCTCAGGCGCAGATGGGATACAAATCGGCGAGTTGATTAATTTTTTTAAGTTTGAAGGAATATTGCTATCGTCGTAAAAATTTAAGATAGTTGACTTCTAATAGACTACTTTTGATATAAATTACACATTTAAGCGTGGAGACCACGGAAGTATTTTTTAAAAATTCGGAAACTTGACCGAAAACGCTGTTTCAGCGCAAATATGCATTTCGGCGAAAATTGGTTCCTTTTTTAATTTTCGGAGAAATGTTGCTGGCGTGGTATGAACTGAAAGAAGTCGACTTCTAACAACATACACGGAAAAAAAAATTGCTGATTCAGCAATTCAATTGCTAAAAACAGTGAGTGCAATGTATCAACGCAGATTTTACAACAAAAAAATGCTACTTTAACTACCCCCGTGGTTAAATTAGTTTACAATGTGGTTAAATTAGTTTACAATGTGGTTAAAGTAGCATTTTTTTGTTGTAAAATCTGCGTTGAAACATTGCGCTCACTGTTTTCAGCAATTAAATTGTTGAATCAGCAATTTTTTTTTTCCGTGTAGTTTTGAGGAAAAATAACAGTTTTGGTCCCAGAGACAGATAGTTTAGATTTCGACATTATGGCTTGCAGTGTGTTACGCACTGACTCTCTTAAGGTGATATCACTTATTACCCCGTTATTTTCCATCGGTTTTCGATCCTGGTAAACTTCATTAACTGTATCAAATATAGTGGTGAGGATTTTCGCGTTCGCTTCATCTTCACTTTTCCATTCCTCATCATGCTGTTTATAATTATTAAGTTCACTATCTGACTAAAAAAACACCATACTTAGATGAATCTGAGCCAATATAACGCTGACAAAATATGAACTACCTTGAGGTTTTTTTGGAATATTTCTAATGTCGTAAGAACTCAAGGTAATTGACTTCTAATAGACTACTTTTGATGTAAATGACACATTCTTCTAAGCGTGAAGACCGCGGAAGTATTTTTTAAAAATTCGAAAACTTGACCAAAAACGCTGTGTTGGCGCAAATATGTATTTCGGAAAAATTGATTACTTTTTTAATTTTCGGAGAAATATTGCTGGCGTTGTATGAACTGAAAGTAGTCGACTTCTGACAACATAGTTTTGACAAGAAATAATAGTTTTGGTCCTAGAGACAGATAGTTTACATTTCGACATTATAGCTTGCAGTGCGCGTTACGCAATAACTCTCTTCGGGTAATGTCCCTTAACAACGCGTAAATTTTTTTGTCTCTGGGACCAAGCTCTTACTTTTTCTCAAAACTATGTTGTTAGAAGTAGACTACTTCAGTTTATACAACGCCAGCAATATTTCTCCGAAAATGAAAAAAGGAACCAATTTTCACCGAAATGCATATTTGCGCCAAAACAGCGTTTTCGGTCAAGTTTCTGAATTTTTAAAAAATACTTCCGCGGTCTTTGCGCTTAAATGTGTAATTTATATCAAAAGTAGTCTATGCTAGAAGTCAACTACCTTAAATTTTTACGACGATAGCAATATTCTTTCAAACTTTAAAAAAAAATTGGGCCCCGGACAATTTATGCGCGGCGCAAGCGCCGCGTACCGGCGCCTCGCGCTGGCATGTGGGGGGCTTCGCCCCCATCATGGTGCGAGAATCGCACAACACTTTCTCGCTTTTGCCGGCGCTCCGCGCCTGCATAGACACTTTTACTGGAATATTTAGAAAAATACTGCCAATTTTACAAAATCATAAAGTTTGATTGGAATTTTGATCGCAGGATGATAGTTATGAAATTTTTATTCAATCCACTGAACTTTATTGTAAATGTCTTCGCGATATGTGATGAATTCATGTATTCGGACTCGACTTGTTGATTTTATGAGGCATCTTCAATTAAATATGTAATTGATTAACAAAGTCTCCTGTCAAAGACGGCGATCCGTAAAAATCTTAGCTTTTCTACGATTCATTAGGATCCATTAGATTCATTGACATCATACTTCAGATACGATTTTATATTATAATCTCTCCTTAAGCACGGTCAAAAGCCATCAAATATCTACTTTAATGGGTAGAATGACTATTCGATGTTTAAATAGTCTTAAAACTAAACGGTTTTCGCTTAGCATCTCCCAAATTTTAAATTTGGCGGGCGAATCTACCTGCTGGAAGGTTCACCACACGCCCGCCAAGAGCGCCATCTCCTTACCGCGTATCCCCGTAATTCAAAGCGAAAACAATAGAGAGCGCCATCCCCTTGCTGCTGTCGACAAACGTCAACAAACCTCAGGTTAAGGTGATTCGATGGACGCCATATTTTGTGTCAGAATGGCATGCGATATATCGCATCAATTGGTTCCATATTTTCAGCTACTCGTCATTTTTCTCCTATTTTGAGATCGCAATTTTGTTGTCAGGAGTCTAAAGCACTCGCTTACCAATTTTAACAAAGAAATTCAACGTAATAAAGGCGTGGTTTTTTCAGAGAGAAAATATCGCATTCGAGTGCAGTTTCGATATCAGTATCGAATGTGATGTTTTCTCTCTGAAAAAACCACGCCTTTATTACGTTGAATTTCTTTGTTAAAATTGGTAAGTGAGTGCTTTAGACTTCTGACAACAGAAGTGCGATCTCAAAATAGGAGAAAAATGACGAGTAGCTGAAAATATGGAACCAATTGATGCGATATATCGCATGCCGTTCTGACACAAAATATGGCGTCCACTGAATCACCTTAATTATAACAATTATAACCTCCTTCCTTTAGTAACAAGCATTAAATCAGTCATATTTGTGCCGAATTATTATATTATATTTGTGCTTAGTACCTCGTAAAAAGGAACCGCAAAAGATGGAATCTGCCGGGATTCTAAATTCATTAACAACAAACATATTAGTTTTTAATAAAGATCTAAGTGTCAGTTCTTGGCGTTAGCTTGATGATTCATAGTACCTATGTAATGTGAGTACCTAATTAGTTGTCTAATTTTGCTTGGTGTATACCTACGGAGTAATTTTGGAAATAGTATATGATGCATTATATAATGCATTTGAATTCCTGGGTTTCACCTGACTCAAAGCGTTTGCTGCTATTATCTAGAAGCGTTCCGACTCATTTATCAGAGAATTGAGCGTTTCCTATCGGCCCTTCTGCAATTATGAGATTAGTCCAAGAATCCTTTAGGAACTTAAATTAATGACTCAGATGGTGCTTTTGAGCCAACTTTCAAAGAATTAAAGGCATTTTTTTCAAAATCTACAGTCCATGAGCTCTCCGTGTGACCGAAGTGCTCTCCTCACTATATGACACGTAACCCTTCAATTTTTAGTTCAGTCCAAAGACCTTATAGGAACTTACATTATTGAATCAGGTGGTGCTCTTATGCCAACTTTCGAAGAAATGAAAGGCATTTTTTTTTCAAATTTACATTCTTTGAAAACGAGTTGTTTGTGTGATGTCGCGGAGCAAAGTGCCCTACTTTTGGGCCTCGTAATCCCTTGAATTTTGAGTTTAGTCCAAAGATCTTTTAGGAACTTAAATTAATGACCCAGGTGATGTGCTTGTTGCCCACTTTTAAATAATTAAAGGCATTTTTCAAAATTTACAGTCCCTCAAAATGAGCTTTCCGTGTGATTATGCTGAAAATGGACCTTTAACCCAATTTGACCCTAGCCCCCCCAAATTTTAGCGTACCCCAAAATCGTTCGACGTGCATAATAAGACCATAGACATGGTGTCCTGTGCCAATTTTGAATGAAATCGAACAGATAGATTCTGAGATATCGCTGTAGACAGATTTGGGGGACGTCAGCCGGACGGACACACATTTTTTCAAGTATGGTTATTTTGACTCCTGGGACCTTAAAACGTCTAGAAATGATGAAATTTCAACTTTTTTTTTTTCCTTGGAGGATGACAATACTTCCTCTCTACCCTAGGGGAGCGAGAAAGTAAAAATTAGTCAACTCGCCGATTTGTATCCCATCTGCGCCTGAGAAGCGTTTTTGGCCAAGTTTCCGAATTTTTAAAACATACTTCACTGTCTCGCACGCCCAAAATTTTAATTTATATCGAAATTAGTGTGTTAGGAGGCTACTATATCTCAAATTATCGGGGCTTTAACGTGACTGCTTCGTCAATAATTAAAATCAAAAGTGTCTGTCAGTCAAAAGTGCTTTCTAACCAAATGGAACACTTTTATAACCATAAATCGTAACTTTTCGAGGGTCGAACTTTTTCTGGGACACCCTATTGTCTAGTGATCCATAACTTTTCCTCTTTTCAAATAAAATTCTGCGTTAAGAATAACGGAAGAATACACTTCATGAAGTTGTGCAAAGCAAGGTTGGATCTTTCTAGTTCGTGCATTTATCAAACATAGGTGATTGGTTTGGTATGGAGGTATGGATAGGATAACCGTTGGTGTTTGGAATGGTGGATCATATGATCTCTTGCCCAAACAGGTGTTTGATTGTATTTCTCCCAGAAGGGGGTGACGTGGACTTCCAGTAGGAGGTTAGCTGCAAAATAGACCAGCAGGAGTTGTTTGCGTTTTGAGCTATGGGAATAGCTCTTGATGTTGACCAAAGATTGCAGAGCCCCCTTAGTGCGTTGATTCAGCTGCTTGAATATGAAATATGTATAATGTATAAGTGTAATAAATTAAAACACCTTATCAGATGAGTATTTTTCTCTCGGTTTCAGAGGAAGAATGTTACAACAGTCTCACCAGTTTAGTAGCTTCCAAACATAAAGTATTTGTTACTCAAACGAAACTCCTCTACGAAGTAACATGGAAAACTGTAATGCATATCACTAGAAAACATGTGGTAAGTATCCATCAAGGTCACCCCTCGTCAACTCAATCAGATCTGGAGCCCGACCTCCTCCAATTTGGCCCTAAATTTGTTCACATCATTCTAAAAAACCGCTTTGAAGGGTTTTCTCTCCGACTCTCTGTCCGCAAAATATTGTCCGAAGATGGGGTGAATTTCAGTGATATTTGAAAAAGCTCGCTCTAGCGATTTTCATTTTCTCAGGTCCCTTCTTTGACTTTCCATGGCGGCAGTCTGTAATGATCCATCTAATTTAAAAAAAAATGTTTTGTTCTAGATCAATTTTTCATGTGAATTCGAATCATGCCTTCAGAATTGAGCAAATGGTTATTTAAATGGCTGTAATTTGGGATTTTTTGGAACTTGCTATTTTTGTTCAAACTGACTCAGCTGAATTTCTCTCAGATTTTCGAGATGTTATTTTTCAGTTCAACCTTCAGGTATGAACTTTTGAGTGTTGCACTTTTTGTAATAGGTATTGAATGGCTAATCGTCGACAAATCAGGATTCTTTGTCAAATTTTTAGAAATGGAAGTAAAATTGTCGGTCTGCTGCAGTTTTTATGGCTAACAATGTTCGTATCGGTCATCAATGCATGAAATTGTGTTCAGCTTCCCAAATGTACATCGCACTGTGGTCAAAAATGGGGGAATTAGTGGACAAATTAAGATCCTCTGTCAAACTTTTTAAAAATGAAGTGAAACTGTTGTTCCCCAGTAGAGTTTAGATCCCGGAAAAATTCATGTTTTTGATTTTTTTAATTATTACTACATGTCAGACCGTATTGTTTATAGAACTTTGTTATGGAATAGACTTTGTAGCATCATCTCAATAAAATATGCAAACTTTCAGAAATTTTAAAAAAAAGAAGGAAAAATGGAGAGAAAAAATTAAAAAAAGATTTAAATAGTCAAAAAAATAATTTAAATAATTTTTCCGGGATCTAAACTCTACTGAGGACCAACAGTTTCACTTAATTTTTAAAAAGTTTGACAGAGGATCTTAATTTGTCCACTAATTCCCCCATTTTTGACCACTGTGCGATGTAAATTTGTTAAGCTGAACACAATTTCATGCATTGATGACCGATACAAGCATTGTTAGCCATGAAAACTGCAGCAGACCGACAATTTTACTTCCATTTCTAAAAATTTGACAAAGAATCCTGATTTGTCGACGATTTCCCCCCATTTTGGACCACTGTGCGACCAAAATTTTTGAAACTGAACACAGTTAAATGCTTGGGGGCCCAATGAGAACATTTTCAGCCGAAACCCATCAAAGGTGTAACTTTTTCGTCCATTTTTCCCGTCTTTTTGCTGTAGAAATGCTGTCCAGAATGATGGCGATTTGGCAACTTTGCCCCCTCATTTCTCAAAAACCGTGTGTATACTCAAGCTAAAATTTTTACCAGAGTTTTAGGGTATCATAAGGTATCGTTTGGGCTCGGTTTCAGAAAAATCCCTTCTGGCCCAAATTGTGCCAAAAAACGGTCGTTTTTGGCGTCGCTCTTTGTAAAGAAAGTTGATTTTTTATTTTTTAACCATAGTATCTAAAAAATGATCACTTTTTTTTGGAAGCTTTTTTTCTAGTTCATTCTCTATATGTATGAGATCGAATAATTAACCCTTGTGTACACTCATTGATTAGGTAAGGCCCATTTCGAGTTAGGTTCGCCCTTATCGCTGCTTTATCGTGCCTTTGTCTGATGGAATGGACGACATACCGTCAGAAGCTTAAGAGATGCCTTTAGCTTGTTGAGGGTTCCACCCGACAGAGGCATGACAAAACAGCAACAAGAAATAGCCGACCAATCACGTCCCGCTTTTTGACCCATGTCATCTGTGTCTACCTAACAAACACAAAATTTCGACAATCAGGCTACAGGTTCTGACAATCAATACCTATTAAAAGAATTTCTCACCGACTTTATTAAGTATGAGCCATTGCAAAAAAATATCTGTGCATGCAAAGAAATAGTGTGCCTTTCTCTTGGATCAATTTTGAATAATATCGCTTCACTATAAAATTTGTCAAAGCACATACTTTCCCACACAGTGCCCAAATTTATTTTCAAAAATGCAATAGCCATGGAGTAAGTATTTGGTCGTAATACAGGCATTTTAAGGATACAATTTTGCAAAATTTACCTCTTAGTTTCCCAGAGTTTTTATGGTCCACAGACAGACATAAACCGAAATGGCAATCTCTTGATAGGAGCATTTAGTTAATGTATGGAAGTTGATATTAATGTGCAAGCTTTACATTTCTTCTTATAAATAATACCTAGTGATCTAATCACATTCAGCCTTGGACGATCAGCAGTGTAGAAATTAGGTAGGTAAAAACTGAACTCCGAACACCTGATATTTTACGAGTACTGTTTCACTGGAGTAATTACATGCTGGGAGCTGAGCTTAGAAAGCACTCGCTAGGTCAAGATGGAATACTTCAGTAACACAACATCACTACAAACTTTTGAAAAATTGTTTAGCAATAAGTAGCAATAAGTGGGTGCAAGCATAACCTTATGACTTGATGTAAACAAACACTCAATACATGAATAACACAGAGGTTCCCCGGTTCCCTCTGGCAAACTGGTCCTTATTTAAAACAGAGAACTGAGATAAAATATTCATTAACAGGGTGGAGATTATCCTCTGACATAAGCACCAAGAAAGAGGGACGGCGATTTAAACGAAGCTTTCCATTCCAATATAGGTGGGATGGGTATATCCTCTCACTCACTGGGGCTGATACGATAAGGCGAGGCTCCGAAGGAAAGTGTTCAGTGTAGATCATGAAGACATACTTCTGGCTGGATGAAAAGATAATTGTTGAAGTAATGATAATTGACATGTAAGTAAGAGGGTTTCAATCAATCTGCAAGGGATACCATAATTCTGTGGGCCGATTATTGAAAGCTTAAAGCAGCCCGATACGACATCGAATTGCGATATATTGCAAGGTTAAGATAGGACTATGTATTATCGTATCGTATTGACATAATTTCAATGATCAGGCGGCTGGGCCACCCAAGGAGATGGGTGATACATTTTGTTTGGATTCTAGACAGAGAAGGAATGGATGCTCCTGTTTCACACAGGAATAGGTGCAGCAAAATGAAACTCATTTTAAGTTAATTGTCAAGTTAAGAAAATAGAATGAGTACATACCCTTCAGGAAAGATCCTCTTAGACATTCACTGGCAAAATGGTGTTTCTAACAACTACTGACACAAAATCAAAGAGACTCGGAGAAAACCAAAGAGCTAATGCTCATCGTCAAAGATCTCTGATTTAGTGACATTAACTTGACCTATGATTGAACTCTACTGAAAAGAAATAAAACTGTACCTCGCTTTCTCTGGAAGCTATAGTCACAAACCAGCAAACGCGTAGGATGAATTGCAGAATTGGACACCTAACCGCATTTCTCGCCACCAACTGATAAAGCGTTCTAATCATGCAGAAAACATGGCCTTCATGCCAATGACAATTATAACATGCACTTGAGAAAAACACAATCACTTCAGAGCGCATAGGCTGACAGCAAAATTTAAAGCGAATAAACTTTGGTCAGAGCACAGAGGACAGTAGCATGTCGTAGGAAGGGTTGAGGCTCACATCCAGTAACTTTTAGAAGTTAACTTATATCTAATACGGTCCACTGCTGAAAAACACTTCTCTTCAAGATATGAAGACCAGTATTCGTGACATGAGGAAAATAACAATGTAATTAAAACTGTGGCACTTTTCTCCGATCCACAGTTGCGCTTTCCGCTTGTCTACAAATGCACAAAATGGTATAGAAATTTTTGGGTGCTGTTTGTTATAAGAATGCAAACAGGGATGGAAATGCTTCTTCCGTTCGATTCTTTGGCACAATTTCGTAATTTCATCATCGTAAATTACATTTACCGCTTGGATCAGGCACAGCCAGTTAGACATAACCTAACCTCACTCATAAATTTGTTACTCATCGTTCAATATAAAGAAATCACTTGAACATTTTAAGAGAAACCAATGAAGTAATGTATTGGGCTCTAACAGAAAAAGAAATAGTAGTTAAGATCTAAAATGAATTGAACTTTTAAATTAAACATTCACATCACATCATTCACAACTTTACGATAGCTGGAGGTTAAAGGTTGGGTAACGATGAAGGAAATTTCGTTCCCAAAACTGGGACGGACCTGATCAGAATCAACCAATGGCATTGAACCACCACTGGTTTTTTTCTAAATTCAAAAATCATAGCTACAATTTTGAACCATGTAAGCCGATGCTGGATTATCCATGCAATAAAGTCCTATTTTATGCGGCAGTATGAAATCCTTATATCTTCAAGCAGTGCCCTTTATATAGGTTCCATTACAATCAGCGGCCAAGTAAGTGAGATATCTGTCGCCGAAGATTGTCATGATGAGCACGTTTCAGTCGGTTCAGCCGTATTTTCCGTAATTTCTCGTCTAGAACACTAGGGATATTAAAAAACGGTAAAAAACCCGGGACACGGTGTTATGATGATTCTTTAGGTACCCTTTTTTATGGGTCTAAGGTTTACCGTTATCGCGGAGTTTGTGTGACTTTCGCAGGACCCTGGATTCTTGAAATTCAAATTTCCCGCCAAAGTAAAACGTAAAATTTTCCTCGTTTTGGGTCATTAAGTGATTATAACTTTTTGAAAACTCAATGGATCTTAATGAAACTCTTCCACTTTGTAGTCCTAATTGAGATGCATCCGTAGACACCAAGATTGTAGGAATCCGTTTTGTCGTTTGGGCTGCAGTCGAATGGAAACCGAATCAATTTTCAGATTAAGGGAGTTACATGTGTCTAAGAGTGTCGCCACCACTTTGCAATCGAGACTTTAGTACGACGTCATTTTTCTCGACCAGGGGTGGCTACCGCCACTCTTGATCCATAGCGCTAAAATGGCATTCCACTGAAAATGCCCAGAGTAAACAATTTTACCTCTATCATCGACACAAT